CAAGATTCTTTGATAAATTGGATGGAATATGTTCAAGCAGTAGTTACTAGTAGAAATTTAAAGGAGAAAAGATCAATTCAATACTTAGGTGCATTAGTTGCAAAGGACCAATTTAACTCAATTATGGGAACATCAAATCTAATTCTAGGCATCTTATCGATGATGAGACCTAATCCGTCTATGTAAACCAATGACATCCCAACCACCAAGGTCTCGGCTCAGCCTAAACCAATTCCATCTACTGTGTAGTTCCAAGAGACGTCTTATCCATTAAAAGATCTTTTTGTAGAAAAATATTCCGAGAAAGCTCCTCCAGCTATTCAAAGTCTGAGTCTAAGAAAGAAAAATATATTACTTCAAGAGATAAAGCTAAAATAAATGAAAAAAAAAAGAAGGCATTAGAAATTTCTTTAAACATGGAGCCTTATGACATTTTGAAAGATCTAGGTACTATTTAGCCTTCTATTTCAATGAAGCAACTTTTAACAGTTACATTGGAGTGTCTTTCTATATTCAATTCATCATTAATATGGCATAGGCAATGTAACAAAGAAGTTCTTGAGGTCAGTTTGAACCTTGACCCATATGCACCAACTATCAACATATTCATAGACGGCATTATGATTTTTGGAGCCCAAGTACATGGTGGCTCTAATGTCAATTAAATGAACGTAGATACAATGGATGGTTTAGACTAAGTACATTTAGCACCCACAACATTGGTATTACGAATGGCAGATCATAGCCAGGTTAAACCAATCCATATCTTGTAAAATATTCAAACCATAATTACCAGTATTAAATACAAAATAGACTATATCATTTTTTATTACAATGTTTAATTTTATCATATCTAATTTTATTTTAACAACCATGGCTTTATCAAACAAAAGCTAAAAACGATTGGAGTCATGGTACTTTGACGATCGGGAGAAGTGGAGACAAGATTGTGTTATAAATGTATTCAATAGACTATCATGAAAAATCTCAAATCTCAGTATTTGAATTGACATCTGATGATGAACTGAGTTCTGATGAAGATGCCACTGTACCAAAGGAGGAAGCATCTTTCGAGACAGCTCAGTACTATGGGATAGTGTATCAGTATAGAGGACGGAGAGAATATTTGATATATTTATCAAATAAGGAAAATTTTGATTATATTATTACAGATTGGATGAATAAATATGATGTGCATCGAGTCAGTGCTCAGGAATTAGAATTGAGTACCTCCTATATGTCGAATTTGACAAATAGATCAGAATAGATGAGGGAGCTGAAACAAGAAAAGGTAGCTAAACCTTTATGTCAAATTATTAACTTGGCAACAAATGAAATACCTTGGATAATTAAAATTTACAAAGGTATTTAGGATCTAGAGCTGACATGTTGGAAAAAAAATTTCATTCACCATAAATCCGCTTTCACTTGAACTTATGCTGATTTGAAAGATATCCCCCTGAAAGTCTGAGAGCATTTGATCATTTTGGAGAAGGATGCTAAACCTGTCTGTCAAAGGCAACATTGATTTAATCTAAAAAATTTCCTAATGGTGAAAGAGGAATTAGTCAAGCTTATTGAGGTTAGTTTTATCTATCTAATACTGAACAGTGAGTGGATTTCTTCAATCATGATGGTGCCAAAGAAGAATGGAAAAATCAAAATTTGTCAAGACTTCGAAAAACTAAATCTGGCTATCAAGAAAGATTACTTTCTATTACCTTTTAGGAATAGTATATTGAATGCCGTAGTAGGGCATGAACGTTATTATTTCTTAGATGGATTTTCTAGTTATAATTAAGTTAAAATTACAAAAAAAGATTAGCTAAAGATTACTTTCACTATGAACTAGAGAACATTTGCTTATCATGTTATGTGGTTTGGATTATATAATGCTTTAGCCACATTTCAGAGGGTGATGACTCAAGCATTTCAAGATTACTTACAAATATTTATGTAGATATTTTTAGATGACTTTTGTACTTTTAATACAAAGTAAGATCATCTAAAATGTGTAGGCAAATATTTGGATCAATGTACTATATAAGAGATATCGTTAAACTCTAATAAATACCAATTTGATATTCCGTTTGAAAAACTCTTAGGACACATAGTCTCTAGATGTGGTATTGCCATGGATCCAAATAAAATTCAGCACATAGACAATCTGCCAAGATGAGAGACATTATTGGGTGTTCGTGGTTTTATCAGCCATGTCAATTATTATCGTCAATTTATTCATTTTTTTGCAATCATCTCTCAACCTCTGACTAATCTTTTAAAAAAAAAAAAAAAATTGTCATATAGGACCAGTCGAGTTTGGACCAAGAAGTGTATAGTGGCATTTGAAGAATTGAAGCAAAAAATTGTATATGCACTAGTAATAGTGGCCTCTTGTTGGACAAAGCCATTTCATGTGTATGTTGATGCATCCAATGTTGCTATTGGATCTGAATTAAGTCAAAAGGATGAAAAAGACTTGAATCATCCAATATATTATGCGAGTCGATAATTGGTGGTTGTCAAATGAAATTACACTACTACTGAATGGGAAGCTTTAGACATGATATATTCAGTTTAGAAATTTTGGCATTGTTTGCTCGGTTATCCATTTGTATTTTATGTGGATCATGATGCCCTAAAATACATGATTAATAAGCCTCAATTGAGTGGATGTATTGCCAGATAGGTATTACTATTACAGAAATTCAATTTTATTATTATTGTAAGACCTGGAAAGAACTATGCGAATGTTGACTATTTATCTCAGCTGTCCAATATCCTAGGCAATGAACCTATTCCTGATGTACTTTCCGATGTTGATTTATTTGCTGTGGATGTGATTTCATCGAAGTATAGTGAAATAATTTAGTTTTTAACATTCCAAACATTTCGACCTCTATATAACAAGAAATTTAAGAAACTCTTAATTTTAAAAAGTGCCCCATATACAATGATTGGTGATGCTTTGTATAAGCAAGGACAGGATGGCATTTTACAATGCTGCACCTTTCAAAATGAAATACTATTGATATTGGATGGTTGCTACTTGGATAATTGTGATGAATATTTTGCTAGTGATAGTATTGCTTGGAAAGCTTTAATGGTTGGATATTGATGGCCAACAATGTTTTCAGATGCACACCAATATGTTTGCCAATGTGATCCATATTAAAGAATTGGTCGACCAAGTAGCACTTCTGTTATGCCGTTAGTACCAATTTTGGTCCGAGCACCATTTGAAAAATGGAGAATTGATTTTGTTGGACCAATTGCACCAGAGTCGAGATATAGAAAGAAATGGTATATTTTAGTCGACACGAACTATATAACCAACTGGATAGAGGCTGTTGCCACATAACATGATAATGCAAATATTATCGCCACATTTCAATACAAGAATATTATCACTTGATTTGGGTGTCCTGAAAGATTGGTTAGTGATTGAGGAACTTATTTCATTAATTCTATAATTGTAGCTTCGATAGACATATACGAGATGAAGTATAAGAAAACAACTCCATATCATCCTAGAGCCAATGGACAAATGGAAAAGACCAATGGTATTTTATGCAAGATATTAACTAAGACTATTTTGAAGGGAGGCACAAATTGAGATATCAAATTATTTGCAACCTTATGGATATATCATATAGTGTATAAAAAGACAACCAATTCCACCCCATTCAAATTGATTTATGAGTAAGAAGTGATCTTACTTATCGAATTGGAAGTCCAAAGTTTAAGGATTGCAGTGGATGAACGATTGAGTGATAAAGAGTCTAAGCACTACCAATTGGCAAAATTGAAAGAATTGGATGAAATTTGGACTACTGCTCTTTTAACAATGGAAACTACCCAAAAATGATAAAAGAATTACTATGATAGTAAATTGCGACCTAAGAGCTTTATGTCCAATGATTTGGTCTTGCTTTAATATAATCATTTTAATAATTTTTTAGAAAAATTTCATGTTTGATGGCATGGTCTATATCAGGAAGCTTCTTTTGAATCTTCATCAACAAATCATATATTAAGATTCAAAAGATGGTGTACTATGTCTAAGTAGGGAGAAGCCAAATGAAATTCTAATTGAAGTTTGTAGCAATATTAACACACAAATCATTCAACAAACTTAAATATGTAAATGAAAGAGTAATCAAACCACCTAATAGTTGGTTCCTTCCAAATTTCCCTCATGATAGTTTGAGCTTGTCTAAGAATTTTATAAGGTAAAGTGGATGGTTAGAGGCATTAAAGGCATAAAATCCTTGACCTATTATCAGACTTTAAATAGATAAGTCATTGAGGTGGCCTGATTGAACCCTAGAACAAAATGAGAGCTCCAAGTGGGCAATTATTGATTTAGAACTTGCTACTGACATAGAAGCTTGTGTAGCAAGACATGAGGGACTCAGACTCCATGCCTTAAGTTTTACAAGTAGTATAAATAGAGACAAGAATGAGGTCTTCCTAAACCTTGATAACTCATCTCTTGAATTAATTCTTATGGCCTTACTGTTCTTAATATTAACCATTGATTACTGTCACTAGGAATTGCTATTTCAATAGGAATTCCTCTGAATGAGGGCAGTTTTAAACCAATCGTTATCCACTTTTTGTAGCTCCAGGAGGGTACTGGATGAAATGTGAAGTCCTTCAGAACAAACTTCTTAAGAAGCTACAACAGCTTGTCAGCAGCCTTGCTCGAAAACAGAGTAAGAACTTTTAACCTCTTTTTGTGATGTGAATTAACTTACTACTTTTTAACGCTCTTCTTCATGTTTAGCACAAAAGATCGGACCACAGGCATGACAATGGATGTGAGTTACTGGGATTGTTATGTGGTAAAGAACCTGTTGCTGTGATGATTCCTTCCACACTAACAAATCCCCTGCACAGACCAGGAAACAAGTAGAAATACTTTTTTAAACAAAAACAGAAAGCTGATATTATCAAAATCAACCGTCTACAAACAATCAACAGCGAGATTCAGAGAGTGGTGGAAATGAGGTTACTGCAAAAAAATAGTACAACCGACTATACATCACCTGCAACTGGCACCCTGCATCGACAACTCGAGATCTAATCAATGCAAGAAGGGAATGTTCGTCACCGATTCTTTACCAATGTTTTCATCATGTGATGATTTGTAAGAAGATGAATTCGGACCAGAGTCTCCTAAATGTCGCATCTCCTTGTTGCAGGAAACGCATGCACTATGCTAATGTGTTCACCAACACCATGGCCCACTCCGATTACCGAATAGTGGAGCCCAATCAAGACACAACTAATGCACTCGCCACAGCTTGAGTGGTCAATGATACGAAGGGAAGATCTCCGAGGAACTAAATCAATGGAATCTCGAATTCAAAAAGTGTGGTGCTCTACTTATGTCTCTTGTCTTACGACGTCTGTTTGTAGGTCACAGTCACTGGAACTTTCACCCTATGGCCCCAGCTTCCAGTCAACTCGATCCTTCCGAAACTTGTTTGATTAAGATACACTGCATTCTTGAGAGCTTTCAGAGTAACTGTGAGCGATTGCGTCTTCCCAGGAGAAATGGTAAAAGTGAGAGGATCAACCGAGACCTCCACATCAGTAGGATTAAAGATCACCGCAGTGTAGGTTTCAAGAGGACCGACATTGGTTACCACCCGTGGAACAGACAGGGTGCCTGTCAGAATGCCGATAGTGATGCTCGGGAGGTTAAGATCCGTAGACTTGTGGATCCCAGGAGAGCAGGTTGCTCCAGAGGCTGCTTGAACAGACGCAGGACTAAGTGATCCAACGGAGCATAAAAAGTCGACGTAGTCGGTATAAGCTGTACACGAAGACGAAAGACGACTTTGAGTAAATCCGGCTGAAAGCTTACACAAAGGTTACAACAAACAAAGGTTGTGATGAATAGCAAATTCTTTAATTAAGGGTGAGAAAACTCACTTGCGTCAAAGATTAGACCAGGATCGAGGGCAGCCCAGGAATCCACAAAGCCGTGACCAAAGTCGAATGCGTTACCGGGTCGCTTGAATAGCCGCTTCGTATCTGTGTTTATATCGTGTTCCTGATCATACGCAACCAAGGGATTGTCGAGGCTATCTAAGAAAATCGCAGTGGTAGCAAGCGCGGACGCAATGGTGGAAGGACTCCAGTCAGGGTGGAATTGCTTAACAAGGGCCACTACTCCTGCGAGGTGTGGAGTCGCCATACTTGTGCCACTTATCATGCCCCACTTTTGCCCTGCAGAACAAGAAAAAACGGACACTGACGTTAAGATGAGATCCACTTGAGAAACCTTTCAAATGCAACAGTGCGCACGTACGTAATTTTTACCTTGAAAATTCACCTTCTCAGTTTGGAGAGGAGAATAAGCGGCCCAAATATCCACGCCTGGTGCTACAATGTTGGGCTTCAGCACATCAGCTACGGGATGACTAGTGGGTGACACCTCCGTAAAACCTTCGTACACGTTGGGACCACGACTAGAAAATGTAGCAACCTTAGGAGGTAATCCTGTAAACTCAGCCTTGCCTCCGCCACTCAACCTTCCAGTAAGACCGGCTTGAAAGCTTTGTGCGAATAGCTGTGACCAAACACCGGATCTTAGCAACAAATTACATATACACGTTTATTTTGTATATTTTACATATACAAAATAAACATGTCGGAGAAACATGCGTAGTCACATGCGTTCAATGAATTACTAGAAAGAAAGAAAGAATGAAAACAAAATCGTGCAGGAGGATAGACTACCTGGGCTGTCTTTCCATTAATCATGATGCTTGGAAAGTTCAAGAAATTTAAAGACCCTGGACTATATGTCTCAAGGAACACACGACCGTCCACCAGCACCAGTCCTACTGCTCCCGTCGCCTTCGCCGCGATACGAGATGAAATCGAGGGATTTAATCCATCGATCATCCCAGAGAATGTGCAAATGAGGATCTTCCCCTGAATTAGTTTCTTGTTAAGCAATGTAGCATCGTCACAGTCAAAGTCTGGGTTCAAGTTCGCCTGAGACGCCACTGTATCAGCCGCTCTGACCAATGCATAATTTGTAGTACCAGGTGTGCCAACTGCCAAAGATCCCACAAATCGCTGTCATCATCTGCTCGACATAATTCAGCAATGAAACAACAAGTTTTGATTTTTAGTAGAGCTATGAAACACTTACGAGTGAGTCCCAGACCGGAGTAGCTTTGTCCATCGGATGTGTACAAATACGCAGGGTAAGAACGATCCATTGTGGTAGCACCAACGGTGGTCAGCCACGGACTGTATGATACTACGGTAGAAGGTTCCGGTCCTGTATTTCCACCGGCGTGTACAACATACACACCAGCCTTGACAGCTCCCAAGCACGCCATAGACAAACCATTCGTATAGGTAACATTCCCACTTGGTGTGCTGCCGCCGAGTGACAAACTGAGTATGTGCACACCATCCTTGACAGCCTAGAAAAATGGAGTTCACAACCAATTCAACTGAAGTATTAAAATTTCATGTTTCGACATGTCCATCATGGTTAAAATACTAGCATCTACCTCGGTTCCACCTACCATATCAGTGTGAAAGAAGTAGCGCAAACGACGATGTGCTCGCGGCAGGTTGAAGTGACAAAAAAAAAATCAGACGATTCACAAGAAGTGAAGCAGACCTGGTCGATAGCAGCGATGATGTCGGAGGACCTTCCTGTACCTTCTGCATTCAATGCCTTGTAGACTGAAATCCTACAACATGGAAAAAGAACATGAGAAAATGACAGGTCATGAAGCTTGTCGACTCATGTGAACTTCACCGTGCCGCGATCACTGTTTCTGAATCAGCATCATACTGGACGGGCACCTGAAACTTGTAAAGAAATGTGACTTTACGTGGCCACTTTTAGCAACTAACAACAACAGCAACACTCACCGTGCTCGTGGGGCAGTGCCACTGGCCGTGCCGTAGTCAACACCATGGACGAGGACTGGTACTCCATAATTCCCTGCCGCAGTTCCAGCACAATGCCTGCAGAGACGTCGCCACAGCTTTAGTCAATACCATACAGTCACATCGGAAAATACCTCAGAAACGTTGCAGGTAGATAAAACACACGATTAACGCCTGGAAATGGGATGGAAAGCGAAGATCAACAACTCACGTTCCATGACCGTTAGCATCCAAGGGGCTGAGCGCATCAGGATCGGAGTTGTTCATCGTCCCGGACGCGAGTGCGCCATCAAAGAAATGTTGAGCTCCTACTATCTTTCCGTTGCAGAATCCACCAGGAACACGCGAATCGGTCCCACATTTGGCTAGGAAAGTTGGAAGTGGACCATACGGTTTAACGCCATCATCGGCTGCGAAGCTTGGATGGTCAGGATAAATCCCAGTGTCGACGACGCCAATTACAATATCCTCACCGGCATTGTGGATGCCTCCAGATTTATTCCAAGCGCCACCGGCAATAGGGAGTAGCATGTAGTCGGGCGAGTGTGTCGTGCTCACGTACATAATTTCGTCTAACTCCATAGACCTAATTAATGGATTTGATTTCAGCGCTGCGGCCTTCATATCACAGGATATTCGGCGTTAGTGAAAAACTAAAGACAGCAAGCCGAATTCTCTAAGGGGAGTGTTCTTTAAGCGAGTAAGCATGTTCGTGTTGCGATATATTTCGGCGCTGGAATAGATATTTACAAAAGTGTAGTTTTGAACGTCTTTCTCAACATTGAAATCAGACAGGAATGTCAGTAAATCTTCAAAAGTGCAGAAGAGATTCAATTTACCTGCTCATCACTCAAAACGACGGCCATTCCATCGAAACAAGCATCAAAGTCATGTACTTTGAGATAGTCGGATCCAAACCCCAGCACAGTATCCAATATAGAAACATGCTGATCTTGGACACTCAGGTCGGAAATTCCCATGATCTGTTTTGCATCGTCTCTGCAGTCATATTACACTTTGCTGTCAAAATTCACTCGCCGTGTTGTGATTTCGGAGGATGTGCAGCACGAATGAGTTAATGAGTCACAAAGTTACGATATGTTTGTGACGATTATTCAATCGGCCGACTACCAGCGATTTTAACATAAAATACACTGCCTGGAGTGTGTGCATTCATGTAAGACAACTCGAGTGTGTGCATTCATGTATATACCAGCCTCTCGATTGTCTAAACATTCCAAGTTCGGATCATCTTCACCAAAGTCGCTGCATTCGAGAGCAAAACAATCGCCCGAGCTCCACAATATTAAGACAAAGATTCTAAACAAGATTTGTTCATCTGAAGCAGAGAACTGCACTGCTACATCATTTTCTCAGGAGGTATATACGAGTAATCACTAAAACCACAAGGTGAGATATATCCACCACTAAAATCATTGCGTCTGTGAACTCACTCCCAAATACAACTGCACTGTAAACAAATCCTCCAGAATAGAACGTAAAAGTGTAAAGGGATGCTTACTTCATCGAAATAATCCACGTCTTCTTCCCACCAGGACCCTGGGCATTGGCGGTAATGAAACATAGTACTACGACATAATACAGGAGACCGCGGGAATTGCAATCTGCAAGATCTCCACCGCCTCTCATTCTTGCCATTGAGGCAACTTGAAATTTTAAAACTTGTTGCGCCCACTAACCCTGGCTAGTCACCGCTAGGCGTTCGGAATATGTCTGTCCTGCTCTAACCATGAATCTGGTGCAGGAAAAAGCTACCAACCACAGTTACAATAATGCCTCTCTCTATTCCAAAGTTCCAAGGCTTGCACCAACATGTAGAGCTTTCCACTTGAAACTCCCTGAAGTTGCAGTCAGAGGATTGCAACCCTGAACTTTCCTTCAGATTCACACACACCACTACGCGCTTACGAACCTGTCCTGCGGTGGAGTCCAGGAATGAACCGTTTGACTTCCAAGGCAAGGTCTTCCGAACCTCCACGATACAATCCGCTGCCAGGCGCGCCGTGGTTCAGGCACCACAACTCCCTAACAACTAGCCGAAACATCCGCAACGCTCCCGCTTTCGTCACATGAAAAAATATTCACCAACTAGATGATAAATGTTCACACTGGAGCACTCCACCAACTCAGCACCACTAATTACTATGTTTCTCCTCACTTCGGCGAATTTACTAAAGCCGTAAAGTAGAATAAACGAGATATAGGGAACCTTATGTTCTTGTTTTCCACAGGTCCAGTGCGAATCCAGCCATTTGTCAGAAAGGATGCACCAGAAGCATACACTTCGGAGCTCGACGAGCTCCAGGCTGGGGCCACGACCACTTGGAGCATTATTAGATCACTCCAAGGCCATGTCATCATGGTGACGGTAATTTCCATGACGATATCCTCCGGGGTAGGCAGAAAACTTCTAAAAGTGCATAATGTTGAGGTTGGTAAACCTTCGACGTACAGGCGGGAACTTGCAGCTTCTCGCACTACAGTCAAGTAACATTGCCGACTGAAACTGAACTCTGACGAATAGATTACCAAGTATTTCACAATTGCTTTTGTATACACGTGTGTTTGTGCACTCGGGCATATTTGTTCTCAGGTAATTTTTTTCGTTTGTAGATCTGAAAATGGTACAGTACAGTATCTGGGGTCCCTCGAAATGTCAATCCTGTAGATTCTCGTACTCGTGAGCCACTTCGCATTAATTTCGATGCACTATTTCTGTTCCGTCAATCGTAGCTGTTACAATCCTGTCTGTGAGGTTGTGCGTGAATTTCGTTTTATGAGGTTCCATTGTAATGGCCAGAAGCGGTGATTGAACATAGTGAACCAGTAACTATATTTGTTAGTACGCACAATGGCATGTACGGGGGTCGGCTGTGAAATTTACTGCAGACAGAGATTGAAGATTTTTTTTGACAAAAATAGAGTTTACTCTATTGCAGTAAATTAGTGTTTGCATAGACAATGGCAGGGTAGCATGGATACACATCGGTTAGTATCCTAGGTGTGTTGAACCAGTGAGCCTTACCTATCCCGCTCGAGATCTACAAGGTGCCACTAGGGTTCATCTCCAGACCACGTGGCGAGTACCTCATTTTTGCACCATTGGTGTTTGAACTTATCTTTAAGTTGTTCTATTCCTGGGAATCTTTTGCACTTCCTCAATGTGTATCCATGCTACCCTGCCATAGTCTATGAAGTTGAGCCAAACTCAATTGTACATTTTCTAAGAGGGACCAGTGAAGACCATTGAAGACAACGTGGTTGCATTCGATCCATAACAACCAAGTAATTGTGCCCCTTAGCAGCAGCCATAGGGGACTAACTTTCCCCAAGGCGTAGTAGAATTCTGTAGGCAAAAATGCAACTCTTCCAACTGGGAAGAAATTGCATTGTGTCTCGATTCTATTAGTATGCTTGACGTCCTATTATAATCCATTCATCCAAACTACCTTGTGTTGTGACCCCCTAATTTGCTACAATCATCTTAGCAATGACCATAGGAATGTGGATGTTTTGCTTCACCATACTTTAAGCATCTATCTAAGATGTGAGACGTAGTAGGATTTGTAATGTGGATGTTTTGCTTCACCATACTTTAAGCATCTATCTAAGATGTGAGACGTAGTAGGATTTGTAATGTGGATGTTTTGCTTCACCATACTTTAAGCATCTATCTAAGATGTGAGATGTAGTAGGATTTGTAATGTGGATGTTTTGCTTCACCATACTTTAAGCATCTATCTAAGATGTGAGATGTAGTAGGATTTGTAATGTGGATGTTTTGCTTCACCATACTTTAAGCATCTATCTAAGATGTGAGATGTAGTAGGATTTGTAATGTGGATGTTTTGCTTCACCATACTTTAAGCATCTATCTAAGATGTGAGATGTAGTAGGATTTGTAATGTGGATGTTTTGCTTCACCATACTTTAAGCATCTATCTAAGATGTGAGATGTAGTAGGATTTGTAATGTGGATGTTTTGCTTCACCATACTTTAAGCATCTATCTAAGATGTGAGACGTAGTAGGATTTGTATTCTCCCATCTATACTCATTGCATTGATGGACACTCTTAAAAGCAATGGAGGACCATCTCTTGTGTGCCATACAGACACATTGAAAAAATTTGTTGACAAATCTATCAATTTTGCCATACCATGCATTGACCAATATTGTTCAATACCAAATGAGCCACAAGAGGCCAGCTTCTTTCTATAGCCTTTCTAAATCCTAGATATTTAACCACTATAGTTTAAAATTTTGTGGGAATACTCTTGCATATTTTGTTATAGTCACTAAAGATACTTCGTGAAATTTTTTTAGAATTAATGTCCTACTAGCAACCATATATTACATAATTGATTATTAATCCCTCAATTAGTATTTGCATCAATTTCATTATAACTTGTTGTCACGAATTTATTATACAAGAGACCAAACAAGATGTTGAATGGAAGAGTTTCAATAAGAAAGCTAACAAGAACTTGATTAAATGTAATGTTTACAAGATCAATACCAAGAGAGATGAGCTAAAACTTTAAGAGATGTATTATCAAGACTAAAGATCTCCTTAGCCTTAACTCTAATATATATTAGGTATTAAGAAGCTTCTCAAGAAATTTCCATGTTGCTTGAAGATGAAGCAACCTTAAGAAGCTTATTATACAATTTCTTTAATCTTTTTAGAACTTTTTAGAAATTGCTAAAATATTTTAAGAATATTTTTAAATCTTTTAATAATCTTATGAAAATCTTTTAAGAATCATTTTAGAATCTTTTTGAACCTTCTAAAATCTAATAGAATATTATAAAGATATTTCTAAAATCTTCTTATTGGATATTAATAACATAACTTCTTCTTCTAATTTCAAGTTCCATAAAGAGCATTGATTTCATATATGCTTTCTTTATTATATATAACATCTTAGTAGTAGCTTCATCAAGAAGTCATCCTAAAATAGGTTTAGATTTTTGAGGATAGCATCAATGAAACTCTTGTATCTTTTGCAACATATTAGCTAAATTTTTTTTTGGTTCTCAAATATATTCATTGATATTGTAACAATGTCAATGAATAAAATACTCCAACTTACTTCTTCTTTATCAAGAATTAAAGATCTTTTCTACCTCATATTTCACATGATTATCTATTTTAATATAAGGCCATAATAATTATATTTTTATTAGAATAGTTGATTCTGAATAAGCCTCTAAAAAAAAACATAAAAGATTGGATGTACCTTCATAGATGTAAGTAGTTCTAATTGATAAGCCACTAAATTTATTTTCTTTAAAATACAAAATGGTCCTAGTCTTCAATAGTTTAACTTAATGCAATGTCAATTGATCTTGATATTTCATCAAAGAAGCCATATTTTATCTTCAACCTGAAAAGCAGAGATTTTTTTTTTCAATTCATTAAAGATGCTTTGTAAGAATCTTGAACTATTTGTAAATAGAGCTTCAAAGTTGACTAAAATTATAACAATTATTTTCCAAGATATTTAGTTAGTAGATTTTTATTCTTAGATATATGTAATAAATAAGCTTTGGATAGTAACTAAAGTTAAATAAAATAATATTTTCTAAATAAAAACATAAAAAATATTATTACAAGCAAATTTTGCTAAAGATAAATACAAGTTCCAATCATCTTGTCCATAATTGATGGTACATGTTAAGGACAAGAATCTAATAAAAAAAAATAACTAAGTGAGATTTTTTCAAAGAAATATGACAAAATAGAAGTAAAAAAATATGTATACTAAAAAGAAACTAGAATGGCTATTGCCAAAAGGCAATAAAATTAAAGACTCTTGAATCTAGACTAGAGCAAGAAAGGAATTGACAACAATGAAGAAGGCTTCATTCTTGCTTCTATGTATACTATCCACTTAAGAGCTATGTAGCGACATTCTATAGGACCTCCAACATGTATTGACTTTGCAAGCCACATATTTTAACTTGCAAGGTAAGTTTTCTATGTGTGTTCCATATAGTTAGCTTATTCCATAAGCTACTCACACTTATAATATGTGGCTAATTTATTGACTAAGTATTTAATTTAAAAGTCAATTATAAATATGTATAAAGACAAAACCATGTCTATGAAGCTTTTAGGAAGCTTATTTAAAAGATATTATAAAATTAATCTATTTTTATTTATTTTTATTTATTTATATATAATTATATAGGTAATTATAAAAATAAATATATATGTCTGTGATATTACTCTTCTTTTCTAAGGATGAGTTCTACAAGGCATGGTCATTATATATTGAGAAAATTCAAGATGTAGTGAATTTTATTTGCCACATACTCTAATCTTTGTTCTTTTCAAAGATGGTTTATAGGTCCTCTTAGCCATTGATAATGTCCTATAAAAAGGCAAAAAGATTATTCTATTATATAATCATTGTTGAGTCCTTTATAACTTCCTTCAAATAAAATATTTGAAATACCATCAAGAATTATTCTTACCTCCAATAAAATCACCATACATTAAGAGTATTTTTTTAAATATGTTGTATCTTGCTATCTAATTGAAGAAGAATATATTATTTTTAAAGTTCTTTATCTCAATTATATTGTCTTGAAGGTTGAGGCAATTGCAATGTCTCATTTGACAAGTCAGCAAATGCTATTTCTTAAATTTAATCCATTAGTTGTTGGTCTTCCATCTCTTTAGTGCCACAATATATACAAAAGCTAAAAAAAAGTTAAAATATAGAATATTACATTCTTTTGAGCTTGTTTTTTTTTATAACAAAGATTTATTTTTCTTCATCTAAGTTTTGATGGATGTCATTGATGAAAATCTTCTACCTTCTTTGTTACATTTGTAAGATTCTTTGTTGGCTTTTATATGTATTTATTAATATCCTATCCATGCCAATGAACAAGATATTTCAATCTATTTTGATATTGCTTTGAATTTGAGACTTCTTTCACTTCTAATTCTTTATTATTATTCATTTCTATAAGAGGAAGTAGCAACCATTTGTTTCTTGATATGTT